TATATATATATATAATTTTTGTGGTTGTATGTTTAAAATTTATAATGTCGTGAGAGTAGGTAAATTGGTCAGTTAGCAAGAACTATTTAAAATTAAGTCCTTTTTAAAAAATTTTTAAATTTCGTTTAAAGATTAAATTTTTTTTTTTTGTTAAAGTAAAAATTTAAAGATTTTTTTATCAAAAAAAACCTTAAAAACTTACCTAACCTTTTATAACAAATGAATTTAAATTTGTCTAAACCAAACAATATATTTTAGTTGTTTACAAAATTTAATTAATAAAAAAACAAAAAAAATGAAATATATTTTTTTTTCGTTAGGTTCAGAATAATTTTTGTTAAAAAATTATCATACATTTTTGTTTGCCTTATTCGGCAAGAAGAGCGTTGTATTTAAACCAAAAAGCAAGTTTTTCCTTTCGGCTGACATATAATAACACACACCACCCCACACAACCCCAAGACACACACACACACCACACACACACACAACCCCACACACACACACACACACACACCACACACACACCACAAATTTATATTATATATATATATATATGTCGTGCGAAAATGTTAAACGGGGTCAATTAGCAAGAACCATTTTAAAATTAAGCCCTTTTTGAAATTTTTTTTTTTTGTTTAAAGATATTTTTTTTATTAATGTTAATGTTAAAAAAAATTTTAATTTTTCACCAAAAGAATCTTAGAAAACTTTCCTAACCTTTTTATAACAAGAACAATTTATTTTTGCCTAACCCCCAAATAAATTATTTTAGATTTGTTTACAATAATTTAATACTAAAAAAAACAAAATATATTTTTTTCGTTAGGTTCAGAAGATTTTGGGGGAAATTATTGCATACACAAATTTTCACTTGTCCCATAGGGGAAGATAATTTGCTATTTAACCAAGATCGCAAGTTCGCCCTTTTGGGAAATATATATATATATATTATATTATTTATATATAAATATAAATATATAAATATAATATTATATAATTATATATGCAATAAAAATCACAGTAAAAGGTGATTTTAGAAAGCAAAACAAACCCTCTGAAAGAATAGAGAAATTCCCAAACGCTTTCGTGACTACTACTTATCAAGGAACTATTTTGTTCCCGGGGGGGGGGGGGGGGGGGGGGGGGGGGGGGGGGGGGGGGGTTTTTTTGATAATTGAGTGTTACAAAGCGTTTGGGAAATTTCTTATTTTTTCAGTGGTTGTTTTTGCATATAATATATATATATTTTTTATTTAATAATAATATAAATATATATTATTAAAATTATATATTTAAAATATATTTTTTATTATTTTTTTTTTTTAACACCCCGGCCATTCCCCCCAAAGGCAGGGTGGCCCAAAAAAAGAAAAACTTTCACCATTCACATCCTCACTGTTTGCAGAAGGGGCTTTCACTAAGTTTTTAAACTGCAAATTAACACCCCTCCTTAGAGTGCGGGCACTGTATTCCCCATCCCCAGGTCAAGCCCGGCCTCCCGGGTTTTCCCCTGAACCCCCTTCAAAATTTTACTTTGCTAACTCCAACAGCAGGGTAAAGTATTAAAAACCTTTTGTCCCCATTACCCCCTATAAAACACGCCACGCATCCCTGGGAAGCCAAGCCCTCGACCAAAAACCCCCTTTTACCCCCCCCCTCCAAACCCCTCCTAGGCCGACCCCTCCCCCCCCTTTTCCTTCCACACAGACTGATACCTCTTGAAGTCTTTCTGTTTCGCTCCTTCCCTTCTACATGTCCAAACCCACCTCAAAAACCCTTCCTGCCCTCGGACAACATTTTTTGGGTAACCCGACCTCCTCCCTAATTTCCCAAAAACTCAAATTTCTCTGATTATATTCACCCAAACTTGCCCTCAGACATGACATCCACTGCCCCCAGCCTTCCCCTCGCTCAAAAATTCATCCCCCACGCTTCACACCCATAAAGGCGTTGGTAAAACATACTTCATACATTCCCCTCTTTGCCTCCAAGGACAAAGTTCTTTGTCTCCACAGACTCCTAAGTGCACCACTCACTCTTTTTCCCTCATCAATTCTATGATTCACCTCATCTTTCTAGACCCATCCGCTGACACGTCCACTCCCAAATATCTGAATACGTTCACCCCCTCCATACTCTCTCCCTCCAATCTGATATTCAAATCTTCATCCCCAAATCTTTTTGTTATCCTCTTTAACCTTACTCTTTCCTGTATTCACCTTTAATTTTCTTCTTTTGCACACCCTACCAAATTCATCCACCAATCTCTGCAACTTCTCTTCAGAATTCCCAAGAGCACAGTGTCATCAGCAAAGAGCAGCTGTGACAACTCCCACTTTGTGTGTGATTCTTTATCTTTTAACTCCACGCCTCTTGCCAAGACCCTCGCATTTACTTCTCTTACAAACCCATCTATAAATATATTAAACAACCACGGTGACATCACACATCCTTGTCTAAGGCCTACTTTTACTGGGAAAAAATTTCCTCTTTCCTACTTTACTCTAACTTGGGCCACTATCCTCGAAAAAAACTCTTCACTGCTTTCGAAACCCCCCTACCTCCTACACCATACACTTGCAACATCTGCCACATTCCCCCCCTATCCACCCTTTTCATACCCCTTTTTCCCCAAATCCATAAATGCCACAAAGACCTCTTTAGCCTTATTCAAAATTTACTGTTCACTTATAGGGTTTCACGGGAAACCCCTGGTCCACACACCCCCTACCTTTCCTAAAGCCTCCTTGTTCATCTGCTATCCTATTCTCCGTCTTATCTTAATTCTTTCAATTATAACTCTACCATACACTTTACCAGGTACACTCAACAGACTTATCCCCTTTTAATTTTTGCACTCTCTTTTATCCCTTTGCCTTTATACAAAGGAATATGCATGCTCTCTGCCAATCCCTAGGTACCTTACCCCCTTCCATACATTTATTAAATAAATTGCACAACCACTCCAAAACTATATTTCCCCCCCTGCTTTTAACATTTCTATCTTTATCCCATCAATCCCAGCTGCCTTACCCCCTTTCATTTACCTACTGCCTCACGAACTTCCCCCCCACTAACAATGGCTCTTCCTCACTCCTACAAGATGTTATTCCTCCTTGCCCTATACACGAAATCACAGCTTCCCCATCTTTATCAACATTTAACAATTCCTCAAAATATTCCTTCCATCTTCCCAATACCCCTAACTCTCCATTTAATAATCTCCTCTCCTATTTTTAACTGACAAATCCATTTGTTCTCTAGGCTTTCTTTAATTGTTAATCTCACTCCAAAACTTTTTTTATTTTCAACAAAATTTGTTGATAACATCTCACCCACTCTCTCATTTGCTCTCTTTTTACATTGCTTCACCACTCTCTTAACTTCTCTCTTTTTCTCCATAAATAAATATATATATATATATATATATAAATATATAAAATATGTAGCTGTAAGCTTTCTGTGTTCTAGCTTTAGAATCTAAACTAAATGTAGATCTTTCTTCACTCAAGGTTGTTTACCATTTCACACTTTAGTGAAAGTAATATAAAAATGGCTTAACCTGGTGAAGTGACACACTGCCGAACAAGACTTTGTTGGGAGAACGTTTCTCTCTAGAGCTTTATCAAGTCTGATATAGATCTACACACAGCGATACGTTGCCCCAATAACAACTAGTTCTGCAGTGTGTCTCGTTGCTTCACTGTTATCAGCAAAACACTTTTTTTGGAGGCTCATATTGCAAACTCGGATTTCATGGTGTTGCGAACTTATCACTGAACATGAAGGTTATATGACATAATCTTCCCTACACCCTAAAGTTGTTGGGTATTTTGTAAAATGTGATTTAGGGAAACGCTGGGTCTATCACGACCGATAGATCAAGTAAATACTCTCATTTTAATACTATACCATCGTGGTGTTGGTGTATAAGTGTGCGGTTACCTGTTTGACCCTTTTATGACGTCTTGTCTTCCAAAAAAAATTTAGGCTGTTTAAACTCTACAGAGTCCTTGCATTTGGAAGTTCTATTAATAAAATGATGAATTTTTGTTTCTTCTTTTTCTTCTTCTTCTTCTTCTTCGGAATTGGCTGTTACGGAAGGCTACTCTGAATTTGTTGACATCTATGTGACTTTCTACTGGCCTAGAGACATGGTCGCTTGAAGAACTTTAGTTAACTCAACCGAAATGTCCGGGTTCGTTCCTCAGAGAAGGCGAGACGCATGGGCTGGTCTCCTTATCCTTTGGCTATTCCATGAAGTTAAAATCGACGTGACTGGAGTTTCAGCCAAAACATGACTAGACTCTGAATATGTAATGCATATAGCAACAGTGCCAGAGTGCACCATTCCGTGTGCCATATGCAATAAATTCTACGTAGGGAAGACGGCCCATGATCTCCAGACACTACTCCTAAAACCTGAATATTTGGGAAAAACACAACACTAGCAACGAATGTGTTAAGCATAAGGAAGAGAACGCTCACCTTATGGCCTGAGAGAACCCAGCTCATACAACATGAAAGTGATATAGGATCAGGAGAAAGGGCGTGGTATTCCCCTTCATCTAGACCCGTAACAATACTGAGCAAAATAAAGTTGTATTCACACAAAACCTCCCGTTCAAATTCTCCGTACATCACCTCCATCTACATAACATCACCCGTGCAACAGCTCAAATCACGTGACCCAAGGACTTTGCCCCACGATTCACCTAACCAGAAGGCCTACATGAATAATTTACACGATTTTGTATAAGCTGATTAAGCTTCCCTTCAGCAAATAAAGACTTACACAGTAATCTCTTTTCATCAGCATTAACTTACTGTAGTAGCTGTGAGTCACTTTAACTTATCCCACGTTAATGTATTGTAGCTTAGGCTTATCCTGCACCACTGTGAGTAGCATAACCTCGCTAACATGTTGTAGTCTGGGATTACTCTGTAGCACAGTGAGTTGCATAAGTTTACACTAATACACTGTAGTCTAGGCTTACCCTACAGCGCTCCATGAGTAGGTCGAGTGCATAAATGGTCTCGCCGACGCCGCTGGTGGTGAAGTCGATTATTTGAGCCTGGACGAGACTGTGTAGGTGGTGCCTGCGTAGTCTCCCCACCTCCCTCACCGTGTCCATAAGGCCCAAGTTGATGAGTGGGGCTGTGGAAGGTACCCATGTTGTGAGTGGGTCTTCATGCATGGGGTTATGGGCACGGGGCTGGTGAGGGCAAGGGAGGACGATTGGGGGGACAGAGCTATAGTACATGGGCCCTTATTATGATGGGGTTATAGAGACAGTACGGGGTGCAGTCCCTCAGGAACGTGTGTAATGGTTAGGGAGAGGACAGATAAGGGAAGGGTAAGATTTCGGGAAAAAGGGAGGAACTGTAGTACACAGACTTGTGGGTAATATGTTTTTTGATCCCTCATGCACGTGGATTATATATATATAGGAAGGGGATAGATGAACATAATATAAGAACATAAAAAGAAGGAACACTGCAACAGGCAGTCGCCTACCGGCTTATGCCACTGACCCAGCCTAGTCAGGTCCAGGTCACATCCACTTAAGGAAGGAGCACGGCATCAGACCTACTAGCACAAGCTAGTCAGGTCCACCTCACACCCACCCACACCCACTTATGTATTTACTTAACCCATTTTTAAAACTACACAACGTTTTAGCGTCTATGACTGTACTCGGGAGTTTAAAATTACACAACGTTTTAGCGTCTTTGACGGTACTCGGGAGTTCCACTCATCCACTACTCTATTTTTCCAACTTGAAACCATTGCTACGAGTCTTGTCCTGGCTAGATATTTTTAGCACGCTATTTACATCCCCTTTATTTATTCCTGTTTTCCATTTATACACCTCAATCATATCAGTGAGGGAAAGATTATTTCTAGGGAGCTTTGGTGTATAGATCCTCGTTTCGTTGAAATTTTGGGGCACATATATAGTGGGCGTTGTTTTAAGTGGGTCACAGTGCACGTTTGTATTATGGGGGAGAAGTAAAGGCAGTGGGGGGAGTTTGGTCCCTTACTTCAATGAGGGTAATGGGGAGGGAGTAAAATAGTTAGTGTGCCCCTTGTTTCAGTGGGGTTTTGGGGGAAGACGGAAGTTAAGTGCAATTCTGTTTAGCCCCTCATGGAGTGAGTATTATGAGAAAGATGGGGAATTTGTTAGAGATGAAGTTATGTATAGTGCCACGATCACAACTACAAAGAAAATGATAGAATGGATAATGAGAAGGTTCAGAGCAAGAGATGCCAAGCCAGTGATGATCCTTTTCAAATTACTTGTTCTCTCTAGGCTGGAATATTGTTGTAGATTAACACCGTTCAAAGCAGGTGAAATTGCAGATCTGGAGAGTGTACAGAGAACCTTTACTGCACACGTATAAGTTCTATCAAACATCTCAGCTACTGAGAACACTTGGAAGCACTTGACCTGTACTCGTTGGAACGCAAGCGAGAGAAATATATCATAATCTACACTTGGAAAATCCTAGAAGGAATGGTTCCGAATCTGCACACAGAAATCACTCCCTATGGAAGTAAAAGACTGGGCAGGCTGTGCAAAATACCCCTAATGAAAAGTAGGGACGCCATTGGTACGCTAAGAGAAACACCATAAGTGTCTGGGGCCCAAGACTGTTCAACAGCCTCCCACCATGCATAAGGGGAATTACCAATAGGCCCCTGGCTGCCTTCAGGAAGTAGCTGGATAGATACTTAAAGTTGGTGCCGGATCAGCGGGGCTGTGGTTCGTACGTTGGACTGCGTGCGGCCAGCAGTAACAGCCCGGTTGATCAGGCCCTGATCCACCGGGAGGCCTGGCCGTGGACCTCCGCCCTCTGAAATATGCCTTTGGTAACTTCAGTTTTTTAATTTCTGCACTACGAATTCTCTACATACTGTTCACACCACACATGGCTTTCAGGCTTACATCACCTCTACTCCAGCCTCCTCCTTGCTGCAACGTTTAAAGCCCATGCCTCACAAACATGTTAACTATTGGTACCACTATTCTCTCGAACATTTCCCTTTTTGTCTTCCATATATTAACATCTTTCTACAGATGCCTCGACACTCCATCCATTTTCCCACCTCCCTCATTAAACTATTCTTTGGTTCGCGTCGCCTTTCATAGATCCCACCCGCCGACATATCCACTTCCAAATATCTATATACATTCGCTTCCTCCATACCCCCTCAATTTAATCTGAACACAAATCTTTCATTGCCTAGACTTTTTCTTACACTCATCATCTAGGTTCACCCTAACTCAGAATCTCCCTCAAGAATTGTCATCGGCAAAGTGCAACTATGATATATATATATATATATATATATATATATATTATATATATATTATATATATTATATATATATATTATATATATAATATGTCGTGCCGAATAGGCAGAACTTGCGATCTTGGCTTAAATAGCAACGCTCATCTTGCCATATAGGACAAGCGAAAATTTGTGTATGCAATAATTTCGCCAAAATCATTCTGAACCTAACGAAAAAAATGTATTTCACTGTGTTTGTTTAGTATTAAATTATTGTAAACAAATCTAAAATATATTAGTTGGGTTAGGCTAAAATAAATTACTCTTGTTATAATAAGGTTAGGTAAGTTTTCTAAGATTCTTTTGGTGCAAAATTAAATTTTTTTACATTAACATTAATGAAAAAAATATGTCTTTGAACGTAAAAGAGAAAATTTTAGAAAGGATTTAACTTTAAATGAGTTCTTGCTAATTGAACAGTTTTACATATTCGGCACGACATATATATATATGTCGTGCCGAATAGGCAGAACTTGCCATCTTGGCTTAAATAGCAACACTTATCTTGCCATAAAGGACAAACGAAAATTTGTGTATGCCATAATTTCGCCAAAATCATTCTGAACCTAACGAAAAAAATATATTTTATTGTATTTGTTTAGTATAAAATTATTGTAACCAAATCTAAAATATATTTAGTTGGGTTAGGCTAAAATAAATTGCTCTTGTTATAACAAGGTTAGGTAAGTTTTCTGAGTTTCTTTTGATGCAAAATTAAAAATTTTGACATTAACATTAATGAAAAAAATATATCTTTAAACGTATAAGAGAAAGTTTTGGAAAGGACTTAATTTTAAATGAGTTCTTGCTAATTGACCAGTTTTACATATTCGGCACGACATTATGTATATATATATATATATATATATATATATATATATATAATATATATATATATATATATATACATATTATATTATATATATATATATATATATATATATATATTATATAATATATATATATATATATACATATTATATATATATATATATATATATTTATATATAATATATATATATATATATATATATATATATATATATATATATATATATAATGCTGATGATAATATTTACATTGAAACACAAAAGAAAATTATGCTTATATAAGGATAAGGAGCTGTTTGTCATATTTATGGGTTTAGAAAATGCGTGTAAGAGGATGGCTAAGAGAGCAACCCTACGGGGACGTGTCAAGTCAACATGGTTGTTTAACATTTATACATGGTGTTGTAAAAGAAGTGAATGCTAAAGTAACAAGGATACTAGATGTGATATTAAAAGATAACGAATTATATATATATATATATATATATATATATATATATATATATATATATATATATATATATATATATATATATCCTGTCTGTGACGATTAAGATAATTTTTTAAACTTGGACGGAATTTTATTTTAATTTATTGATGGACGGATTGGAAATTAAATTTTGTAGTGCTTTTTGGAAAGAATTTTAATTGTTTTGTGAAGAGAGATTTTTTTTTCCTTTTTTTTTTTGACGAAGAATTTCTAAATTTTGTATTTTGCTCTTTAGGAAAGGGTTTGGTGGGGATTTTGTAATTCTTTTATGGAGAGATGGGGAAATTTTGTGTTTCTTTGATAGAGATATATTATTTGTTTTTTTGTTTTTTGCTGAGAGAGAGAAAGAGAGAGAGAGAGAGAGTGGGGGCTGTTAAACTAAAGGTCGGTGTTTTATGAAGAGATAGGGATTTTTTATGGGTAGTTGAGAAATTTTATAGTTATCTTATGGAGAAACGGGTTTTTTTTTGTTGTCGAGGGAGAGATTTTAGTTATATATGGAGAATTTTGCAGTAATATTCTCAAGAGACATGGATTTTTCAGGAGTATAGGGGAAGTTTTGTAGGTATATTATCGACATATAGGAATATTTGTGGGGGGCAGAGTGCGTAGAGTTGTTATTGTATAGGAAGATGGGGAAGACATACTGGTTAAGACCACACTGGTTATTGTATGGGAAGATGGGGAAGACATGCTGGTTAAGACCACACTGGTTATTGTATGGGAAGATGGGGAAGACATGCTGGTTAAGACCACACTGGTTATTGTATGGGAAGATGGGGAAGACATACTGGTTAAGACCACACTGGTTATTGTATGGGAAGATGGGGAAGACATGCTGGTTAAGACCACACTGGTTATTGTATCGAAGATGGGGAAGACATGCTGGTTAAGACCACACTGGTTATTGTATGGGAAGATGGGGAAGACATGCTGGTTAAGACCACACTGGTTATTGTATGGGAAGATGGGGAAGACATGCTGGTTAAGACCACACTGGTTATTGTATGGGAAGATGGGGAAGACATACTGGTTAAGACCACACTGGTTATTGTATGGGAAGATGGGGAAGACATGCTGGTTAAGACCACATGGTTATTGTATGGGAAGATGGGGAAGACATGCTGGTTAAGACCACACTGGTTATTGTATGGGAAGATGGGGAAGACATGCTGGTTAAGACCACACTGGTTATTGTATGGGAAGATGGGGAAGACATGCTGGTTAAGACCACACTGGTTATTGTATGGGAAGATGGGGAAGACATGCTGGTTAAGACCACACTGGTTATTGTATGGGAAGATGGGGAAGACATACTGGTTAAGACCACACTGGTTATTGTATGGGAAGATGGGGAAGACATATTGGTTAAGACCACACTGGTTATTGTATGGGAAGATGGGGAAGACATGCTGGTTAAGACCACACTGGTTATTGTATGGGAAGATGGGGAAGACATACTGGTTAAGACCACACTGG